ATGAACATCAAAATGGTATACAATACCGACAGGTTGTTAGGTAAGACACATAGGCAACAGTTAGACAACTTTATTCCGAAACTTTTCGCCTACACAGTAGGCTTCTTCAGTCGAATACAGAAAATAGGCAGGAACAGTAGAGATGTGAAGACGATGTAATCAGTCCATCACCCTTGTAGTCGTAGAATTTGAGGTTGTCAGTCCCTCGGCCTGGAGAAGTTCAGTTCCATAGTCAGGAACTATCTGAAGATCAAGCATGTGTGTCTTACCTAACAACCTGTCGGTATTGTATACCATTTTGATGTTCATCTTGTCAGACACTGCAACACATGGCATCTTGGTACAGAAAACACCTTGGACAAGCTTTTCAAGTGAGAAGTGTTGGATCTGAGAGGGACATGACCTCTCAGTGGTTACATTCTCACTACTACTACTACTACTCTGCACCTCTCCTTCCGACAGTATTTAAGTCTCCGCACTGTCGCTTGATCTTCAGATAGTTCCTGACTATGGAACTGAACTTCTCCAGGCCGAGGGACTGAACCTCAAATTCTACGACTACAAGGGTGATGGACTGATTACATCGTCTTCACATCTCTACTGTTCCTGCCTATTTTCTGTATTCGACTGAAGAAGCCTACTGTGTAGGCGAAACGTTTCGGAATAAAGTTGTCTAACTGTGGCATGTGTGTCTTACCTAAACGCAATTTGTTTAAACGCCCCCAAATATTATGCCAATCATACATCGGATAAACTACTACTACCGCCGCTACCAGAGCCTTACCATCTGCTCTATCAAGATTTCTGAATATAATTTGAGTGATCCCTCACGTTTATGAAGACCCGTAACATTGCCTCACCTATCATGAACTCCCGACCCCCCCCCCCCACCACCGTCGCATATCCTGGTGTATCCTATGAAGACCGTCTTTCGCCCCCCCCCCCCCCCTCCGCTTATAACTGTTTTAAATACATACTTATTATTCTCTTTGACATCTATAAGACCCAGCCCTCCACGGCCAACCGGGAGTGTGACAACCGTTCTACTTAACCATTCGCTCCCTGTTCCTCAAATGAATCTAAAAACTTTTTTGTAACCTTTTTAACTCACAACGAAGTATCTGAAATATTACCGTAACATGCCATAATTTACTATATAATAGCACATTCGTTGTTATCACCCTTTGTTGCAAACTTAAATTAGCAGCTCTTAACCCACTAAGACGCTTCAGAACACTATCAACGATACACACGGAATTTATTTGTTGTGCTGACTTTATATCATTTACATAAACGATCCCACATATCTTTATTTGGTCCACCCTTTCCCACCTTTCAGCTACCATTCCTTCCTCACGTGACCCTTTTCCAAGATTCATATACTTTGTTTTCCCCATGTTGATCGTCATGCCAGTAGCCTTTTCAAAAACTAACTTTTCTACCCGAATCAAATCCATGTTTTCTCTCACCAAAATCGTCGTATCGTCGACATATCCAACAATGCCCGCTCCCCCACCCCTTACATTACCCATCCCATTTGCTTCCAATAAAACCCTTATCCCTCTATAAAAGGGATCTTGAAAACATGCAAAAAAAATTTGTGAAAGGGGACTACCTTGACGCAAACCCCTTCCCATCTGAATTCTATCTCCCAACCTCCCATTCACCTGCACACGCAAGGTTGCCTCCTGATACATTAATTTGGCCCATGACAATTTCCGCCCCAAACCCCTGCCATCTCATGATCTTCCATAACGTCTCCCGTTCCACACTATCATATGCCGCCTACCAATCTATAGCCAATACCCCCCCCCCTCCCAATCTTACTCTTTCTTCAATAAAACTTCTAATCATACCGTCACCTTCATACATATACCTGCCCGGCACCCCATATTGTCCCTTGTCAATCACTTTGCCCAGGACTTTTTTATTCTGCTAGCCAAGATCCTTCCAAAAATTTTTTAGTCCCCACATAACGAGATTGCACGATAATCTTTAACCGTTAATGGCTCGCCTTTAGGAACTAGGACGACCACAGCCAACCTTTGTTGTTCCCCTAAAACCCCATCCCGCTTCATGATATTGAATAAACGTACCTGAAACCCCCTTTAAAACGTTCCAATTTTGAAGATAAAAGTCGCTGGGCAACCCATCTATTCCTGGCGCCTTACCTAATTGCGCCCCAGATAAAGCCTCCCAAGTCTCACACTCCGTTATCGGCCCTCCCAACATCAAACGATCATGCTCCATCAGCTCACACTTCACAAACCTACCGATTGACTGCAAAGCAATTTCACTTATTCCAACACTTTGCGTTTTCAATTTCACCCAAGCATCAATATACCCACTCATACCCTCCGTCGTCAACACCTGATTCACTATACCCCTGCATACCTACCTGAAAATTCAACCCCATTAACTACATTGCTTTGCGACGTTTGTGTTGATTCCTCAACACGCCGACGGCCGATCTCCCCACAAAACCTCTTCGATTCCACCCTTAAGCCTTTCCCCATCAAACTTTTCGTTTTGTAAATTTCGTAGTTGCTCCTTAATTCGTTCAATTTCTGTAACAGGATAATTAGCATTCGCTTGTACATAGTCGCGCAACTGCCCCTCTAAATATCGTTGGAAACCATACTGTAACTGATTATATCTCACTCCGACTATATTCCTTAATTCGCTTTTTGGCTATCCTTTCCCACCAATTAACCAAAGCCACATCTCCAGGTGCTTCAACCACAAGGCGTTCCCACATATGCCCAAAAGACAAACTACTTTCCTCTCTTCAATAACTTTGCATTTAATTTCCAAAATGACGGACCCCTTCTAGGCACACCCGCAATATCTACATCCATTACAACTCCTCTATGATCCGAAAACAACACATTTATCACACTCACTCTCCGCACTGTAACCGCACTAGACACGTACATTCTATCCAATCTCGCCGCATAATCTAGTCTAATGAAAGTATGCTCCACCATGCCGCTCCACCATGCCCCCCCCCCCCACACATCCATTAAACCCACTCTTCAATAAATCTCCCAGGAACCCCAAGCAACAACCCACTCCGAGGCTCCACGTCTTTCCGTCGTATTACACAATTCCAGTCTCCCCCTATTATCGCTACATTTGGTATACTACGTAGATAATATACTAATACATCTTGTACAAAATGAGTTAAGTCGTACATCTCCCTCGGCCGGCCCATATACACCTACAAAACTTGTGTACTCTACCCCATAAACCATCCCCCCTAATAACTCTCCCCCCCCCCCCCTTTCACTATGGCATACTACAAACTGGCTATTTTCCTTTACCAGAATGGCGACGCCTCCTTTTAACCTCGTCGCATATTCCATATACACACGGTAACCGTTTATTTCTAACTTATCCAATTCTGTAAGGTGTTTCTTGGATAAATACTACATCCACATCTAGACGCACCAAAAATTCATTAAACCACTTTTGCTTCCGCTCAGATCTCAAACCGTTAATATTTATTGTCAAAACCTTAAAGACAATTAATGGGATTTTCCTTTCGTTCTAGGTATAGACTTTTCACTTATACATTTTACAACACCTCTATCCCTCTCCTTTTTTGGGAATCGCCTTGATAAACTCTTTCGTGGATTCACTGTTCCCTTTCCTCTGTACATCCGCCCAAGACTTTTTCCCTGGCCTTTGGGCAGGAGTAAGCACGTCGTCCGAGTCTGATGGGGTCGCAGTTCGCTTTCGCGTCCTACCCTCCAATGAAATTGGGATTTCTTTAGTACTTTTAATGATGCACCTCCACTTCTGCTATATTCACCATACCATGCAACACCAGACTCAATGCTTTCATCCGTCGCCTCACCATGATGCTCAACCGATCCCAAAATTGCACCTGGATCCTCCACACTGTTGACGATCGACTAACAATACAGACAGTGCCTTCACTTAAGACGCCGCTACATCCTCGTCCCCCATAGTGGGCAGAGTCTCTTCAAATACTTTATGTCCAGTGAAGGTGATTCTTCTCGCTGTTTTGCATCCTCCAAAGCATTCTCCTGCGCTTTTTCTACCTCTTCACTCCAAGATGTCCGTTGTCGAGACGGATGAGCATAAGACTTCTCGTCCCTCAACCTCTTCCGATTGTTGCTGTTGCGATATTTGGAGATTCCCACGACGCTTACCACACTGCCGCTATGTGGCCATACGACCCACACAGCCGACACGTACGACGTTGCCCCGCACACGTTACATATACTCGAGTTCGAAATGCTTGCAACATAATATAGGACGGTATGGGATGGCGCAAGGTCATTTTGACTGAATATGTTCCCTTCAAACTTCCAGCATAAGGTCCAGCGGCCCACCGACCTGCAGAGGCCATATGAACCGTACCATAATTACGTAGTTCATCTTTTATAACAAATTCAGTCGCCTCAAAAAGCACATTACTTATTTTAACCCACGTGTAGTGTCGTGATACATCATGAAGACTTACTGATACAACTGAACCGACTGCTATAATGGTCTCTTGATACTTATCCACCACCGCTTCATAGACATTTGCTGACGTCACTTTAACGAAGATCCGTGTCGTCCCATTAAGTGCTACACCACATCTCTTCATTTGCGATACCGTAGGTATCACTGATAATCGCCGGTAGTAACAAGTCCATCATGGCTCCGGTGACAGCCCCACGGGTCAACTCAACGCAAACGGTGTTGATGCGCCTGTAGCTATGCAGCACCATGTTGGTAAATGAGCAGTGCACGTCCTCACTACTCAAAAGGTTGTTACGAACTGAGGTAACTCGCCTGAAAACAGCAGAGGGGTGCAGAGCACAACCGCACTATCGTGGTCAGTCAGCAAATTATTTAAGAGTTAAGACAAAGCCCTTACTTATACCAAGTACTAAACCCATAAAGGACCATACAGTATTAAGTATTATTAAAATTTTAATCTGCAGTGTGGTTTTAAATTTTAGTTTAAGGAAAATTGTTAGTCATTAATGGTGTTAATTTTATTGTACAAGTTATACAAAGTTATTTACAATATTAATAAAACTAGAAAATGTTTAAGGCAGAGTAACTTCATATTAATAAGAACAGTTCATAGACTCCATGCATGTGCCAGTCTTGTTGAATCTAGCCAAGGAGAGAGACTAGAACCTTCTTGTAATCCCCTGAAGTGTCAGCCTGAGGGAAGAAAAAGAAAAAAAGGTAAACTAAATTTACATGCAAGGTACAATTTTCCAAGTAATCCCAAGCAAATAGTTTGGGAAATCGCCAAATTTACAGTGTAAGGAAAAAAAAAAAAAAAAAAAAAAAAAAAAAAATTCAACACGTACCTTGACGTCTTCCTCAAGATGTTTGTTATACAAGTTATGGTACTCTGTTTTTATGTTGCCAAGATCAATCTCGCAGCGAGACACCACCAGGCGGATAAGATCTTTGTCATTAGTTCCAGCGTCTGCCAAGGCAGCATGGAAAGATTCGGCGAAGAAGACTCTTCTGTTCTCGACACAATCAACTGCATAGAGAATTTGGTTTAAAAGAATGGGGAAGGGTGCAACCGTCTACAAGTAAAAAGTCCTATACGTATTTCATGCATTCCTATTCCCCTATAGGAAGGTTTGGAATCTTCCTTTGAGGAAAGCACTCTTAATGCAAAACGTCGTTACTAAAAGAAAACCAATTAAAATTTCAGCATTTGACGAGTAGTGAATTCCAGGCAAGTTATGTAACCGATTAGGATTGTCAATGTATTATTCTTTTCACATTGTGGAGATGAAAAGGAACTTACACAATGCCCTCATGTTTGTCCTGGTGCTGCCAGAGTACTCGCAGTCTATGGTTCTCCCAGGGTTCTGCAGCCAATCGTAATAATTCAAAGAACTTCGTAGCTGCTCGTATAAAAAAGTACTATTCCTTCATAGCTCTTTTTTGTCAAGAAATTACCTGGGGAAAAGTTGACAAAAAAAATAGCAATTATTTTAAAATAGCAGTAAATTTGCCCCCTGCAGATCTGGGGAAAACCCGTAGTTCCCAACAATATAATTTTGTCTTTAAAAAAAGCAGATGTTTAATGTTTTTGTTATTTTCATTACCAAAATATTTTCACAGTTAAAGAAAAAAAAGTTTAGCTTTAAAATTAAATTTAAACAAGTACTCAATTACCATGATGGGTAAAATTATTTTACCAAATGACCAAATTGCCTAAGTTTTTAAATTTTTTAATTCTCTTTTAATGCAGACTTTGCTAAAGGAATGGTTACACTGGCATAAAGGGAACGAGTTAACCCATACAAAAAATCTTTTCCGAAATTTTTATTCCCGGTCATGTAACCTTCCCCGGGGGGTAAAAAAAAAAAAAAAAAAAAAAAAAAAAAAAAAAAAAAAAAAAAAAAAAAAAAAAAAAAAAAAAAAAAAACAATGTGGGATACGAATGTATTTTTCGAAAGTGAAAGTTTTCTACCCACAAAAAAACCCGACAGGTCGGGGGGCGAGCTTTTAGAATGACGCATTAAGCAATTTAAGAGAAAAAAAAAAAAAAAATTTAGTAAAAATTACGCTCGTTAAGATTGTTGGCGTGAATGGAGGACTAAGTAAATGTCGTGGGAACCTGTAAATTTGAAATTCAGTGACTGAAGAATCAAGGTGATAAGTGTAACTAGAGAATGCTTTATCTGGAAGTATGGCACCTCGTTACCAAAGCTTCGTAGTTTAATTTTTAGTACATTTGTGCGTTTGCCAATCTCTGGTATGTCGGGGAAGCATTATGTAGGTTTCAAGAATTAAGTTGAAATTGTCAAGATGCAATTCTTATGCATATTTTATATAGTCTCCTATAAATAGTCTTATAAAATGTGCATTTGGGAGACTAAACCACCAATTAAAGTAAAATCAATAATCCATACAGTAAACAATTTACCAGTTACAAAGTTCCAATTTAATAATGCCTAACTATTTACAGTTTGAGAGTGCGGGAGGGTATTGTGGGATGACAAAAATTATACCCATTTAAGGAGGTGCAGCTATGAATTTATATTTTAGTTGGGTATTTCTAAATTTAGAGTAATACTTCCGGACGGTGGTTGTATACTTCATACATTTTCTCACCAATTATAGGAAATTTTTTGAACGTATTTAGGTAAACGGTGTCTAATCGGTTTTCCTTTTCAAATTTAAAAAGGCAATGGAATTTAGATGTTTTTGGAAAATGCTCAACCTTTTCCCGTGGTTGGCCAGTCATCATAAAAAATTCTGCAAAGATATCTTTTTTTAAAAAAATTTAACCACATAAATAGGTTAGCCATCATTGGCCCTCACCAGTACTAATGTTTTTTTTTTTAAAGGCCTCTTGTTAGTTTATAGAAAGCCGGCCCCTGGGGCCCTTAAACACAGGAAGGGCCCGTATATTAACTGTCGTGTTTGATAAGGGAGATAACAAAGACAAGTGTCAAGTACACGTAACTTTAAAATCCTAAAATAGCGAAATTTCGACATTTAAGGCGCTTTTAAACTTTTTTTGTAGATTTGTGGAGAGATTACGAAAAAAAGTTAGTTAAAAAAATTTCCCTACCCCTTTCCCCTCGTTCGAACAGCCTAGTGATGGGGTTGGGTTATTTTGTTTTCAAAAATATGAAGACCCTTTTTAAAGCAATCTTACCGGGAAAAAAAAAGTTTTAAGTTTATTTTTTAAAATACATTGAGACTGTTTTAAAAA